ATACAAAACCAATATACAAAAACCAACAGCTTTTCCATACACCAATGGTGAATCCACTGAAAAAGAAATCAATAAAACAATTCCATTCACAATTGTCTTATTATTTTTTAATAATAATAATAAGATACCCAGGAATAAATCTAACCTGTGAAGAAAAAGACCTAGAACACTGAAGAAAAAATGAAGAAGACCTTGGAAAATAAAAAGACCTCCAATGTTCTTGGATAAGCAGAATTAATATTATTAAATGGTCATATTATGAAAAGTGGTACACAGATCAATGCAATCTCAATCAAAATACCAATGACACCCTTCATGGAACTAGAATAAAACTTCTAAAATTCATATGGAAGAATAAAAGGCTCAGAATAGTCAAGGCTATTTTGAGCAATAAAAGCAAAGCTGGAGGTATCACTATCCCTGACTTCAAATTATACTATAGACCTATAGTAATTAAAACAGCAAGGAATTGGCATGAAAACAGACATGAAGAACAATAGAAGAGAAGACAAAAAATTCCACAGACACCTGATCTTTGACAAAGGTGCCAAAAACATATTTGGGGAAAAGACAGCCTTTTAACAAATGGTGCTGGGAAAAATGTTTACCCATATATATAAAAAAGAAACAAAATCCCTATCTCTCACCCTGCACAAGTCAACTTAAAATGGATCAAAGACCTAGGATTTAGACCAGAAATTCTATAAATGCTAGAAGAAAACACAGAGTCAACACTCTTTATATACAGGTGCAGGCATTGCCTTCCTCAATAAGACTCTTAAAGTTCAGTAAATAAAACCAAGAATTAACAAATGAATGGCATCAAATTAAAACAAACAAACAACAAAAAACTGCACAGCAAAGGAAACTATTAAGATCATGGAGAGCCTACAGAATAGGAGAAAACTCCTTGCCAGTTATTCTTCTGACAGAATATCTAAAATATATAAAGAACTCAAAAACTTAACACCAAAAAAACAAATAATCTAATCAATAAATGGGCAAATTAACACATTTCATCTCATTCCAGTTAGAATGGCAATCATCAACAACACAAGTAATAAAAAATGCTGAAGTGGATACGGTGAAAAAGGTATATTTAAACACTGTTAAACACTTAGTTGCAAATTAATAAAACAACTGAAAATCAATAGGAGGTTCCTCAAAAGATGAAGAATAGAACCACCGTATGACCCAGCTATTGTACTTCTTGGCATGCACCCTATAGTGATACATGCATAACATTGCACAAGAACCATTTATGGAACCAGCCTAGGTGTTCATCAGAAGATAATGGATAAAGAAAATGTGGCACACATACACAATGGAGTTTCACTCAGGCATAAAGAAGAATAAAATTGTCATTTGCAGGAAATGAACAAAACTGAACGATATCAAAGTGACAGTAGCCACTAGACTCAGAAAGTCAAGAGTCATATGTATTCCCTCATATGTGGAAGACAGAAAAAGGAAGAGGATCTCATGAAAATAGAAGGGAGAGCAGTAGAATAAAGGCTGGGGATTAGGGAAAGGGATAGGAGAAAAGAAAAATATAAAGGAAAGAAACAGACCAAATTATGCTATGTGCAGATTAAATATATCCCAAAGAAGCCATTTATGTATAAATCCCCCAAAAAAATATTTTTAAAAAGAAGAGGGCACTGCTTAAATGTTATAACTGCAAATACAAAGGAGTGCAATAATATAGGCAAAATATTCATATAAAAAATACCAGTGCTTTTGAGGATGYAGTGAAATTAAATCCTGATATTATATTGATGAGATTGCAAATAATACAGAAACTTCAAAAAGCAATTTCATATAGTATTAATACTTTGCTATTGTTGTTATTATGATGAAATATCTCAGGCTGGGCACTCACTAAAAAAGGAGGAGGGAGGGAGGAAGGGGGGGGAGGAGGAGGAGGAGGAAGAGGAGGAGGAGGAGGAGGAGGAGGAGAGTAGTAGTAGTAGTAGTAGTAGTAGTAGTAGTAGTAGTATAATTAGCCCACAATCTTAGAGGCTGAAATTCAAAAAAGCACAGTGCTATGGTGAGGGTCCCCCTGGCTACATCATTTTGTGGTGGATGGACTCACAATGGCAGGAACACATGCAAGAAAGAGATCACACAGGGGGACAGGAGGCAAAAGTGAGGAACAAGTATCGACTTCCCACTAGGCCCTAGCTCTAAAAAGATCCCAGAACCTCTTAACATCACCACACTGGGGACCAAGCTTCCAACACCTTTGGGGGATACATTCATACTATATCCAAATCATAGTGTGGGGTTTTTTTTATTTGTTCTTTTTAGATATATATGACAGTAGAGTATATTTTAACATACTATACATACATGGGATATAACTTATTCTAATTTGAATCCCATTCTTGAGGTTGTACATGATATGGAGTTTCACATTCATATGTGAACATAGGCAAGTTATGTTCAATTCATTCTACTGTCTTTCCTGTTCTCATCCTCCTTTGTCTAATCCAATGAACTTCTATTCTTCTTTCTCCCTCTATTATGTGTTAGCATCCACATATTGGAGAGAACAATTGGCCTTTGGTTTTTTGGGGACTGGCAAATGCCACCATTTCATTCTTCTTTATGCCTGAAATATGTAGTTTCTCATAAAGTTACCTTATGACCACACAATCCTACTCTCTTAGGTATTTACTCAAGAGAAACAACAATTTATGTTTACACAAAAACCTGTAAATGAATGTTACTGAAGTTTTACTCGTAACTGCCAAAATAGGAATATACTTCAACTGTCAAAAATATAAGCATTTATAGTTCATTTAGAGAATAAACAACATTCACAAGTACAGGAATGAAATACTTATGTATACAACACATGGATGACTCTCAAATGCATTTTGTGTAAAAAAGTGAAATCAAGAAGTCAGACTCAAAAGACTACAAATCCTGTAATTCCATTAATATGACAATCTGAAAAAGGCAAAATGATAGAGATAGAAATAGATCAGCAATTGCTAGGAGGTTGGGAGTGGTCAACTACAAAGGAGCAGCAGAATGAATTTGGGGGGGGGGGCTTGATGGAACTTTTCTAGATGATTATTGTGATGTATCTGCTTCTTACCATTCATCAAGAGAGACTTGTACACAAGTGTTTTAAATAAATAAATTTATTRATAAATCACACTACACAAAACTTCTCACCAACTGCAGAAACACTGTTTCCCTACAGATAAAAGTACACCTTAATGCCAGGTGCAGTGCTGTGATCCCAGAGGCTTGGGAGGCTGAGGAAGGAGAATCCAGAGTTCAAAGCCAGCCTCAGCAAAAGCGAAGTGCTAAGCAACTCAGTGCTAAACAACCCTGTCTCTAAATAAAATACAACAACAACAACAACAAAAATAGGGCTGGGGATGTGGCTCAGTGGTTGAGTGACCCTGAGTTCAATTCCTGTACCCCTGCAAAAAAGTACACCTTAAGTGTTTTCTAAGGCTTCTTTCTGAGGCACAACGAGGAGTCAGGTTTTATTACTTTCACTTTGCAACTGAGAAGCAGCACAAATCAAACAATCTACAAGTTTCTGGTACTCATCAGAGAGGCTGTGCTTACATTTAAGTCCTTGATTTTTGTAGTCCACTCCATCACGGTATTAGATGACATCAGTAGTTACAGAGGTTTTTAAAAAGTCAAACTAAATTACTTGTTTATATTATTCCATAAACAAGAAGACTCAAACAAGTATTTTAGAAGGCTGGAAGTGCACGTATGTCTGAGAACAAAGTACTTTTAAAACAATATACTATTCACACAAATAATTAGCCTTAACTTTGGCCTCAGAAATTCAATTCAAAAAGGAATCTAATTTCTAATACATTTTTAAAATAAGAAAGGGTATAACACAGAACAGATGGAAGAACTAAAAATGAGGCTCTAAATAAGGTACAGCACCACAGTAGAGACACACAAAATAAAGCTTCAGTCCTTCACCATACAGTGCAGATGCAGGCATGTCCTTTCCTAACTTCTGTAGGTCTGACATGATGCCCAGACCATTTAGGTTTTGTTGTTTGTGTTTTTTAAGTCAGTAATTCACTGCCAATGCCACATTCTTCTTGGTCAAGCTATCACTGAACACACAAGAACGACCTAAAGAGTTATTCTGACTTAGCACTTTCATCTCTTTYTGCATTACTGGGAACTGAATCCAGTGGTTCATACATGACAGGCGAGCACCCTACCGTTGAGCCACACCCGTCTGTAACCCCAGCTGCTGGGGAAGTTGAGGCAGGAGTATCCCAAGTTCAGCCTCAGCAACTTATCAAGGCCCTAAGCAACTTAGCGAGACACTATTTCAAAAGAAAAAAAAAACAATAAAATGGGCTAGGGATATAGCTCAGTGGTTAAGCGCCCCTGGGTTTAATACTCGGTACAAAAAAAACAAATTTTTGTTGTTGTTCTATTCAGGACTTTCCTGTTAGTTACCAGCCCGGACCCCAGGCTGGTAGAAGGAAAACCCAGGCGTTGAGCCAAACAAGCGAGGCTGGGAGAGGAAGTAGGAGGGCGTATTCGGTCACAGCGCCTTGCCTTCACGTGCGAAGCAGCGTGCAACCTTCCCGTGGGCTCTCTAGAGCCTTCGTCATAACCCAAGGGGAAAATGACAGTGATGAGACCMAACTCAGAAGCATGTCGTGGCTTTCCCTGGCCAAACGCGCTGGGCAAGGGCACAAAAAATGGGCGCCTCCCCCGGAACCTGAACCCATGGAGCCCACTACCAGTGCCCTCAGCTCCAAAAACTGGCAGTCTTTCACCCTGCACTCATGACCCTCCCCCAAAAGTAACTCACGAGCTGAGGCCCSGGAACCGCCGCCCTCTTTACGTAACTTGAACGGCTAGGCGGACGGCGACAGGTGGCAGCGCAGGGATAGCCAAAAGCCCGAGGCCCCAAGAAGGCACCACCTGGCGCAGGCAGCGAGGGCCCGGGAGGCAAGCGAGACGGATGTCGGCGGCGGCCTCGTTACCTTTCCAGATGCCCAAAGAGAGCTGGGACGTGTCCAGGTTCACCACATAGTCCCCCAAGAACCGGTTCAACACGTCCACGACCACCGACTCGAATACCATCTTCCTCGGCTGCGCAAGGCACAGCGGCCGCCCTCTTCTCCCAGTGCCCCGCCCTCGAGACCGCCCAGTTCACCGGCTCCGGGACCGCTCCGWATGCAGCGCCTCTGCCGCCAGCCTGATGCTCAGCCCCAGCGCGAGCCCGGCAAGGGCGAAGGCGGCCGCTCTCACCGCGCTTGCGCAGCTCGGGCTTGTGGGTGGGGGCGGGGCGTGGTGTCGATCTGAGCGCGCCTCTCCAAGMGGAAGGGCGGCTGCGCGGCCGCCAGTCCGGCGCGTGCCCCATTGGGGCCAAACCGGGCTGGTCTTCCGTGGGCCCCGCCTCCTCCGCATTGCCTAGCAACAGAACAAATGCTTGGTCTGCAAGACTTTTCCTACCCCTTCCGGACCTGCAGTCCCGGGAGCGGACCTGCCACTCCGGCTGGACCCAGCACCGCGCTTCTCACCGCCAGGCAGGAACGCCCCTTCCCAGTCTGAGGAAATGATAGACTCCCCACCCGCCGCCATTTGAGCTGGAAGGAGCTGCCCCTAAGTAAAGCGTGGGCTAATTCCAGCCCCTTCTCTGTTAGGCCAAAGGTTTCCCAAGGAGGTAGGTCAGGGAGCAACACCCCCACTCATTACAGGTTGGGAGGGTTCGGCCAGCTGGGAATTTGGACKGTTGTACTATCCCTTCCTGTCCTCCATGCCCCGGCGAGAACGCGCCATCAGCCCTCGAGATATCTTAAGCTCCCTAGCTGCAAATGGGGGCTGGGTGTAGTGATGGAAAGTTAACTCGGGAATGGAATTCCACGCCCCCTTTCCTATAACTGCAATTAGAACAATTGGCACTTTTTCCCCCCCTGTTGTTTTTGGGAGCCGCCTTTCATTCCAAAGAATGACAGGTTTTTCACAGATACAAAAAATCAGCCAGTCCAGAAACTGCGGAGTCCCTCAAAGGAATACTGAGTGCTTCCTGGATACTCGCTGCATCCCCTCCACACACCCGCAGCCACACACACACACACACACACACACACATATCCTTCGAGCTTTGGGAAGTGACAGACTGTCGCGGAGGACTCAGACCCAGGAAACAAATTCAGGATTGGCAGATAGAAGAAGATGCAAAATGCAGTTAGTATAGTAGATGTGTTTTATTTAGCGATGACCACAGTCTACAGCTTCAGCTTCAGCCCCCATTTTTACCCCCATTAGCCCAGTTCACCCTAAGTCTTTCCCATAGGCCCTTTTTATATATGCAAATCAAAGAAGGCACACTGCCAACAGGTTACATTGGGGTGGAGGGGAGCAGGACTCATGCTCATAAGTTAATGTTTATGACCTTGAGTATAAAAGCTGAATCAGAGTGTTTCTGGCCTTGACTTACCATAACATAGTTGGTTTCTAGCCCTAGCTGCACATTAGAAACATAACAGCTTGCTGGAAGTCTCAGCTAGGTAACTTAACTACAGCCATTTTGGGGCCTAGCCCAACACTGACCTAAATTAAGTAAAAATTAGAGCTCTTTCAACCCCATTCCTGAGGTTTATAATAGCCCCAAAGGCCTGAGATCACAGGAGCACTAGATGTGAGATTTGGAGATGAGTGATCACCTTCTTACCTATTTCAGATATGAGTGTACCTTGAACTTCTCTGCATGTCAAACAACAATGACTTCTGTTACTTTCTGTATCATATTACTATTTTTTTTTTTTGTAGTGCTGGGCATTGAACCCAGAGCTGTGTGCATGTGAGACAAGTACCCTATCAACTAAGCTATATCCCAGCCCCATATTACTAAATTTTGAGCATAGTCACCAGGGTTTCAAAACTAAAGGTTCAAGTTTTATCTTTGCAAGTAGAATGGCTGGCAAACAAACAAAAAAAATAGTGTAAAATTTTATTTTACATGAATTGATTAATTATTTTTATACAATCTTATATTTGAAGGGCCTTTATAAGGTCTTTTTAAAGGTCTTAAAGATAATGAAGTGGAGATGTTAAGGATTTCTCCAAAGTCACACAGAACTGGAACCTGGCCTTTCTAACTGACCTCACTCAGTGGTGGAGGTCAGAAACACTGCATTGCTTCTCTTGCATTTGGCTTACATTAGAAATCTACTACAGGATGCTGGCCACTTCTGGCTTAGCCACTATAGGATGCTGGCCACTTCTGGCTAACCCTGCCTACTGCCACTAGAGCTTACAGACAAGTATACAAAGCAAGTGTATAGCACAAGTATAATGCACCTGCTGCCACTAGAGTTTGTGGACAAGTGTATAGGATCAAGAATTCATATTATGATGAATGATAAGGAAATTGTTGGAACTCTTATAGGATTAACTGTCAATATGGTGCTGTAAGATGTCACTGAGTTTGACATCAGAAGGTAAAAAGATTACTAAATCAGATAAGATTTTGCTTAATGGAAAGAATATAACAATGTTGGTTCCTGAAGGAGAGGGACCTGAAGGATGAATTTGATTTTCCTTGACTTATACTAGATTCCATTTTGTTTTATGATAGATTTTTAAAAATCTTGAGTATTTTTTAAATATATATTTTTTAAATCTTTTAATGTTTAGGTTCTCTAAGGATAATTTTTCCCATTAAAGGGAAATACTTTCAAGTTATATTGTATGACCAAATTTCTAAATTAGTCATAATTATCTTGGAAAAAGAAGAAATTAATTCATTCCTTTTTTTTGTAGTTGTAGGTGGACAGAATGCCTTTATTTTATTTGTTTATTTTTATGTAGTGCTGAGGATCGAACCCAGTACCTCACACGTGCAAGGCAAGTGCTCTGCCACTGAGCTATAGCCCCAGCCCTATGAATTTGGTTTTTTGAAGACTAAAAGGTAAAGACTTTTTGGTTGGAAAAAAAAAAAACCCTACTTCAGAATATCTGTATGGAGAAACTAATAGAGGTGAAGATACTTAGCAAAGGATAAAGCCCTAATGAGGTATTTTGCTACTTTACTATTAGTAAGAAGCTAGATGAACAGTGGTCACAAAATTCCATTGTTATATCAACCATCATAAATTTAAAGTTGCAAGAACTTCCAGAATTTACTCCAAAAATGCATTTTTAAGTATCTCGACAACTTAATATTGGTTTTCTACAATCCAAGAAAAGGGAAAGGGTGCTGCTGAAAAATTAGAAGTATGAGCATTTAATTGCTGAATGGCAATGAAAAAAAATCTACTGAAGAAAGTTTAGAAATAAATAAAATTCATATTGTAACTGAATCCTATTCTAATATTAGGTAGTAAATCATGAACAACACATTTCCCTGTTACTCAAACGTATTATTTACATTCAGTCATGGTGTTGCCTAATCCATCCAAGGAAGTTTGCAGGTAAAACTACATTTATGCTATAATGAAAAACACAGGTACAATAATTAAAACAAATTTCTATTGGACCTTGAAAAATAAGCCTAAGAACTACTAAGAAAAAAGTTCAAGTTTTAAATTTGGGAATATGTCTATGTAAATTGTTCTTCTTCCATATYATAATTAAAATGTTATATTTTGTTGTATCGCCACATTGTATGATCAGATGGGGAAAGCCTGGGGGGAGCACTCAAAGCACCCCAAACTACARTATCATCTAACTTCAATAAATTTCTAACTTTTGTAGGTAGGACTTGCTGTTTTATGTTTAGTTTCTATCTATGAAATTGTATGCTGGTAGTGATCTTGAACCTTTTTTCTGCAACTYTTAATTCTTCTATCCACTAGTAAACATCTTTGGGGTTCTGCTTGTCTTTATCATTAGTTTTATAGTAGCAGGCTAGATGGATTACAAAGCCATTGAAGAAGACCATGATCCTAAAAAGTATGCTGGAGAAAGATGACCATTAACTGACTTAGCCATACCRAGCCTTGGACTCTGTCTCAGTTAATGGCTTAAAAATTATAAATAATAAAAGTTGGACTGGGGTTGTAGCTCAGTGGTAGATCACTTGCCTTGCATGTGTGAAGCACTGGGTTCGAATATCAGCACCACATAAAAATAAAGATATTGTATCCATCTATGACTAAGAAAAAAATTTTAAAATAAATAAATAAAAGTTACTTGGATATATGTGCTTCAGTCTTTAAATGGAGAAATGTATCAGAAGCATAGATGAGAGACAAGAAATGTACTCAAGTAGTATAGGTGGAAATGTAAATTGACACAATCTAAAAGGCAATTTTTAAACATTTACAAACACACACAGAGATGACTTTTGACTCCGCAATCCCACTTCTAGATATTTGATCTAAAAAATTGTAAAAATCCCAAAAATTATCCTTCTAGAAATATTCACTAACGCTTTACTTATAACAAAAAACCCATAAACAATTCAAATATCCATTAATAAGTAAACATAAGTAAAGACATTGTGTTACTATGCAGGCATTAAGATGATAGGGAAAATGTAAACTAATATGGAAGGATGCCAGTATTATAAGAAACAAGATGCAGAATAGTATCACACCAACTGTATAAATTGTGGATGTGTTTTTAAGCATGCAAAGTATATATATATATATATATATATATATATATATATATATATATATATATACACACACACACACACACACACACACACACACAAAATACAGAAATCTAGAAGTACACTCACCAAATATTAACAGTAGTTATTTCCAGATGACAAGTTTTTTGTGAATGAACATTTTTCTCTATTCTTAAAGTGTTTTTTTTTTTAACAGTGAGCATGTATTAATTTGTTCTAACCTGTGAAGAGGAATGTGTTTGAAATTTTATTATATTGTATGTTATTTTATAACTGGGAAAAGTATAAATGCATAAGGACAAATTGTTCTCCCTAGATTTATAGCCAAGATATGAAGAAGGATATGAACCTTTAAAAGTCTGCCAAAAGACACAAGCAGACATTTCCCAAAGAGAGTGTACAGATGGCAAATAAGTACACGAAAATATGTTCAATGTTATTAGCCATTGGGGAAACAAAAATTAAAACCACAGTGAGATATCAGAATATCTTATTCTATTTAACCTGTCAGAATAGTTTAACAACAAATGCTGGTGAGGATAAGGAAAATTTGGATTAATCGTATATTAGAAATGTGAAATGATACACCACTCTGGAAAAAAGGCAGTTTATACAAAAACTAAACATATGCCTACCATATAAACCAGCAGTTGTACTCCTAG